TAAGTTCGGCAATTTCTCATTCATTCACACAACAATCTGCGTGTAAAATTCCTTCCACTTTAGTTACTGCCTTAAACAAGACTTATGAACAACAGCATCCGACCTACACTGTGATTATCATGGACAACATCATCCAAATGTTTAATACTCGTTCCAAACTCCATCACCTTAAATATGTTGTCATTTTTAACCCTCCACTCCATTCACGTCTGTAAATGGACTTCAATAGTGGTCGACATTTTAGACTACAGAAATCTAATCACAGAACTTTGTGTCAAAACATTCGCTACTAGACATTACACTCCTCTGTATGGATTATTTTGTGGTAATTAACGATTACAAAGTCAATGTGATTCCACAACTTGAGTAGAAACTAGAAACATATTCAATTTGGCCAATTACTGTTGGCAGAAGACATTCTTTTGAAACCTAAGTGATAAATATTATGTTTCCAGGTTTGACTTTGAGCTGTTTGGATTCTCACTGGACAGATACCTAGAGCTAGCAGCCAATGACAGTCCAACCAAAGCCATTTTGGTGTGAAGAGAACCTACCAACCACAGCTTACGGATTACTTCAAAGTGGCTAACACAATTAAGAAATCAAGAGGTGTTAGTCACAACTCACAATATGAAAAAAGCTAATCTATTCAACATTACAACTAATCGCTTGTAGAAGCTACAAACAAAAGTTTGGGATTGGTTAATCTATACTTATAAAAGTATTACACAACCACAATGATTTTTCTAGAAGTGTGTTTTACACCTACATTCCAAACCGTACAATTTTTTCACATTCCAATCCATCATTTGATGCTACTTCAAGATCTGAAGTTCATTTACAACTAGACAGCCTTCACATTCCATCTAAGACTTCAGACATTCCATCTAATCAAGCGTAGAGGCTAGAAACTAGAATAAATTCCTTTGATCCTTTGACACTCCAACCCATCATATGTAGAGGTTACAACTAGAAGACTTTGCTCTGACATTCCATCTCCTTAGTTATGCTTCAGAGTAGAATTCATAGAATAATTAGGGATTCTAACTCTGATTCTTCAACCAACATTTCAATTTTCCCCAAGACAATTTTGGGGATTCTGTTAGAGCGGATATCAAACAATCCACTATCAATCTCTTTATTTAAGACGAAAATAATGTTTGTAAGCCGGAATGTCGACAGGTAAACTAATTAATCATGTTTAGTAGCTGGAAAGTCCAAAACATATAGTTTTCACTTGGCGGCAGCCGATAACAGAGATAAGTTACCATCACTTTTGCACCAACAGCAAGGAAACGTTGTGTGTAAGAGTCTTAATGCAAAGATTACATGTGATGTACTGATTAATTAAATGTTCTAGACTTTTCAATATTAGATCAAAGAATACTACTATAGTCTTTCCAACATTGCCTGCGCCCTTACCAGTCCTTGCTGTCCAAAGTACGGTATTTGTAGATAATTAATTTTTATCCTGGCAAATCGAAACCCTGTCAAAACGTAACTGCAGAAAACGATCCGTCTAAAACACCTCATAACAAGTTCCGACCCGATACTAACAACTTTACTTGTTATGATGGTCAGTTCCATTTCTACATTTTTAACAATAGGCATTGTAAAAACTGCTTTTATACGGTTGTTAACTAAGCTAAGACTTTTCAGACTTTTAAACTTTAAATATTCCATAGGTTTTTGAAAGATACTGCCGATTAAGCTGTTAGGTATAGGGTCATGGCCATTAAGTAGACATTATTTGCATTTGTTGATGCTGTATCCATTTTATTGAAAAGCATGATTCAAAGAACAAAGTTTGACTGCAACACAGATGGATTGCACAGTTAATTTCTAATAAATAATGGTTTAAATACCTTATACTGATCCTTAGTAGTCTATAGGCTACTGCAGTTTCATTCCTGAGGGAACTTCCATCAGGCTGAGATACACCAAATTTTATTCCCGAGAAGCCGTCAAAGTTAAAATCCATCAAAGTCACATTCCTCTGGAATGAAATTTGATGTCCCTCACATCCTGATGAAGTTCCCTTGGGAATGAAACTGTAGCAGCCTATAGACTACTAAGGATCACTTAGACAGTGTAAGGTATTTAAATAATTATAATAGGCCTACCAGTGATCCGAAGGCTAACAACATTAAGTTAATTTCCGTTCAACAATTATTTTAATAGTTCAAATGAAATGCTAGCCAATTCCTTGCCTTCAAATTCAAAGGTTAAATGTTCAACCATGGGAAAGCTCCACTCAAGACCTATTTGCAAATTGTAATCCTGATTCATCCTAAATCCAATCAGGCAATGATAGATTGATGATTTCTAAAAACTTTTAAAATTTAAGGTAGTTACGAGAACAGAATTTGAACCATTGCGACATCTTAAATCATACAATCTAAAAATATCAAAGGTGCATTTAGAATCGAAGTTGAACAACTGACTTCTTTACTTCTTTTACCAATTCAAATATGTCATAAAAACTATTGAACATAAAATAATCAAGAGAGAAAAACCAAATCCAATACCGCCACATTGTCAATGGTGCGGTCGAACTTTGTTCATTACAAATTCTGTCTCATAAAACTAGCTAGAATGTATTCTTTAGTTTCCAAACAGTGCTTGACTGAAAATAAAATAATATACAGCTTGAAGAATACCATTGAGAGCTTTTATTTAAATATATCTCTTTATTTAAATATATATCTTGCTTCTTGAGCTTTTAAATTAGAAGTACTTGATTTATTTGAGGATATATTTATAAGTATAATATATTTGTTAACATTATTAAACAACTACTTTGAAGTTGAGTTACCAGAGTTATTTCATTCATAAGATCCTACTAGATCTGGGTTTTAGCAATAAATTAAATAAGCGTTTCTTGAATTCGATCAAAATTATTGTATGAAAACTATGGTCAAACATAATACTGTGATATAGGTTGTAACGGTATCTGTTTAAGATTATTTATTGAATATGCGCAAAATATAATGATGGAAACCAAGCAATTTGTTTAAACAAATCTACGAAATAATTATTAATAAGTACGGTATTTATACGTAATAATTATTTGATTGTGTTTGTTTATATTAAAACATTAAAACCAAACCGATTCACCAAGTAAATTGATGCTTTTGATCACTTTTTTGGGTTGTTCAATGTTTTTGTCAAATACTAGTTTTTTAATAGGCCTATTATAATTCATTATAGTAAAATCTGTTTGCCACCAAGATAAAACTAAATTTTGAGATGCACAATGTAACCATAAACACTTTGCTTAAGTTTTGTGCAATGTTTGTAGCCACTAAGTTTAGATTTGTTATAAGAAATTGTTTGATATCACTTTGTTATTGTTCAATTTATTCTGTAGAAATGTAAATATGTAAGATAATGTTATTATGAATTTAATAAAACTGTTGGTTTTCTTTACAAGTTTTTCTTTAGCTCCTCGTTGGATTTGATCAAACGTTAGAATATTAGTATATGAAACCACCCTTCACAGCAAACTAAGTAATTTAGTTACTTTATTGGAGTTTTAGCCAATCAATATTTCATACAGTGCAACAAAATTTTCACTTAGATCGACTCCCGGCCAGAATAATAAATATCGATTCAGAGAGTACTGAGGTTCGCTGCTACAAGGAACAGAGGAACCAAATATGTGTTGTTTTGATTTAATTTAAAACACCTACAATTAAATTAATTAATTTTTCAAAATTAATGAAAATATGTACACCATAAACAAGCAATTTCACATTTTGACACAGTTGGAGTCATAAGAAATTTTGTTTAAAGAAAGTACTGACTGTAGAACTGTAAGAGCAGGCGTAGGTAGGCAATCTCACCAAGTACCGTTTACCTTCAGATTTCATGACAATTACTTACTAATTGTAATTATTGCCACAGGAGTGTTATAGAGGGAGCAAAGGCCTCGCCTGAAGCAATGTATGAAAATAGAGCCTGGTAGCGTCGTATGATGACATGCAAATAAAACAAAAGACAGGAGTGTCTCTGGGCAAAATTATACCAGCGTGAAAAGTTACAAGGATTTTTTTGTCCCAGTCATAGAGAAACCATGTCGCTAGAAAAACCATCCCTTTGGTTTTATTTAAAGGGATCGGCGGTTCCGGCCACCGCGAAGCAAAAAGAACGCTGGCTTGATATTTAACTCATTCATAAGTATCAATGGTCAAATTCTTTAATTAAAATAAAAAACTAACGATTCTTTAAATTTTTAACCCATTGGGGAAGGAATTAATCCGCTACCTGCAGCACCCTCTGGCGGCAATTAATTTTACCAAATTTGTATACTTTTACTCTAACTGCTATAGAAAGAAAACCTTAGGTAATAAATTAATAATTCTTTCACCATTTTGTTCACAGTAAAATTGTCTACAGAAAAGTGTTAATTGGATAGTCAAAGTTCTAAACTAAAAAAATATATATATATAAAGATTATAAAAATAAAAATTTTAAAAACAATATTTTGAAAGTAAACTTGATATACAAATTCCAAGATGAATCCAGACACCAAATAACACTACTATTATAAAGGTCAATCGATTCCCTACGTAGAAAAATCAAAAGTTGTGTACTTTTATAAGTAATAACATTTAAAAAAAAATTGTTTGTTTACCTTACCGCAGCTGATTTTTGGTGATATGTGGTTTCCATAGCAACACAAAATTGTTTGTTATTCGCTAAAATAAATGAGTAAATACGCAAATCAAGAAGCAAGATATTTATAAACATTATAATAGTAAGAAGAAACAAAAAGAGCAAAAAATAATAATAACTAAATAACAAATGGCGCTGCCTAGCGGTGACACGAGCAGCTCTCGTAAGTCGGCCTCCGGGCCTGCAGCGGCCGTACGAGTAACGCTCGTAAGTCGGCGCCAATGGGTTAAACAACACGTAAACTCAACACTTTTTATCCTAAGTAAAAATGTCTCTGATTTGAACCTAAGCGTACTAATAAAAGAAATAAAAGATGTACTCACGATGCGGAATTATTACGAACAGGAATGCCAACAATCCATTTTCCGTTGTGGATCTTCTTCCACGGACAGGAGAGTTGGAGAGGAGCGTCAGCCGTGGGTCCAGAAGTGGTGGGGGGAGGTAGGGAAGGACCCCACGCTAGTACTTGAGGCTCACACTACGAAAGAGAAATACAATAAAAAGACTGTCAAAACTAAATACCCCAATAAGATTCAACATTCAAAATAGTTTTTGTCATTAAAATATAAACATTTTTACACAAACAATGTATAGTGCAAATATGTAGAAATAACATACTTCGTATCTTAGAAAACATAAGTAGTCTAATTGCATTCATACCACCTGGTAAAATAAAAGTTAACTTTACTACAAATTAGTGATTACCTCCTGTATTTATTGGCTAAATTAGATGAAATATAATAATTATCTTAATCTTGTTTACAAACTACTGTATTTTAGTTCTCTTTCATGCTGTTGTTGAATCATAGATTAAGTTATGGTTTCTATCTATGCAAGTAAAGATCGTTAATTGCCTGAGCTAAGAATATAAGAAAATAAATAGGTCTAGACAACATTTACACACTCACACGTTACCAAATATAAACATACATCACAATAATCGTCTTCATCAGATCTATAAGGATAGTGAATGTATGAGGCTGTAAGGCAGAAAAGACTAATACCGGTAAATCTATGGTGTATTTTGTATGTCTATGACTTAATTTACCTCAATATCTAGATCAGGTGGTACAACATGAGGGGTAAAGTTGTACAAAGCTTTGTATCTGAGATTTTGTCTTTCCTGCACCATCCGACGTACTTTAGCCACTCGAGCATTCATCTCCTGAAAATAGACAGGTGAACAAATTTGTAAGCAGAAAAACTTCATATCTTTTTATATGAATTTAAATGTGTTAATTTACCTTACAAATATATTAAAATGTACAAATATGAATTTACAACTCCAATCTTGAAAAACATAGAGATTCTTCTCTACCCGCCCCCTTGGCCCTCCCCCAAATTTCCATAAAATACCTATTGAGAATACTGCTAAAGATTTTGGCTGGCTGAGATTAAACACTCAGTGAGTTGGGAATGAGCAGTAATAATTTAACTGTTAATAGTTTTGAATTTTGTGTTTTTTAGTTTCTTCTTTCTTAATTTTGGATTACTTTAATCTGGTATGCCAAATCCGTAAAAGCTTAAGTAATATATTCCCAATTTAACTTAGCAATCAGGTTTTTGACTGCAGTTTTCATCATATAGGGCCTAGTAGTTTTTGTGAAAAAATCGTTGGGTAAATTTATTACATGCAAGAAAAGGAGTTCCAGAAGTAGGGAACAGTAGAACCTTGTTGGATTCCCTAATTAAGTATTTTCTTATTGAGACCTAGAGATTTTTTATTAGGTCTATTTAAAAGGATTTCAGTTTGATCCTGGTTCATAAAAATTGTAAATCCAATACAATGTATTTGAGAAACTAAATACTGGATATGTTTCTAAATGCTTGCTATTTAAGTTGTGTATACTCTTGAGTTAAGAACAAGATAGAGTTGGGAATAAAGAGCAGAAAGGGTAAAGCTAAAAAGAGAGGAGTAGTAAATAATGATTTAGACTTGGAAAAAAGTTAAAAGAACTCTAGGAAAATAAGATTGATGGTATAGAGCTTAGTTACGTAAATCAAGAAGGCCTGAAGGAAGATGGATAGAGGAGGTAAAGTGGGCTACGGAAGAATGAGGATTGAGAATTTAGACGTAGCAAAATATGAAAGAAGAGTAACTGTGGATGAGAGGAAATGGAACCACTTAATGTCAACACAACCTAAACTAAAGAGAATATCCATTGGTCACAAACCTGTAGTTTTCCATTGAGGCTGACAGTCAGCACAGGCACTGCAAGAGGTACAGGAGCATGCAACTGGCCTACAAAGTTTGTTACAATCTCCTTCTCATTCCTAGTGCTTATCACAACCTGAGGATGGCCAATTCTCAATCTGTCTTCAATCTTTAACTCCACTACATCTTTGTATGTTTTAAAGATCTGAGAAAAGAAAATGTAACAATTATTGGGACGAATAGGAAACCATCTTGGTTCATTCTCGAGAAGAGGTAAGTTTTGGATTGTTTGAAACTGACCCATTGTGTACCTATATGACTTGACTCTAAATAAATGGTCCTAGCTAAAAAAAAGCTGCTCTTAAGACAATAAAAAGCTTACGATTGTGATCATGTTTACATCGGGCAAAGTAATTAGACGTTTCAATAACCACACATCTGCATAGAAAAACAACAAACCGGAAAGATCAAATATCGCACAACACTTGTTACAAAATGGCCACTCATTAGGAAAAATGGAAGACGATGTATCTATTTTAAAGAATTGTAAGAAAGGAAATGTGATTAATACTTGGGAGGAATGGTTTTAGTAGGCCTTGAAGGAAAAATGAAAAAAAAAATTAGAAATAAGCTCATTAATGAACAAGTGAATTTTGACTCCAGCTGTACTTGGAGAAACTTATTGACCATTGCTTCCGGTAGCCAATAGGGACGCCATTGAGGGATTCTTGTCATTTGCCTATTGGGTCTGATGATGATTGGAGTGTCCAATCGAAATCGATCACCACTTACCATCCTTTGTATGTACTTACCGTCTTGTGAGTAAACAGTATAGCTGCAAATATATTATAACAAGTGTTATTAGACATTTTTATTTTTTGTTTGTCAAATAAAGCTAACCAGATAATTTCACTCCATTCTACACTCACCATACATTCATATTAGTATTAAAATATACATCAGTGACGTTGCCAGGATTTCAAAATAGGGGGAGATCAACCAACCTTTTAAAAGGGGGGTCTGGGAAAAATTTAAAAAACATAGGCCCTAAAACGGTCTTTTTATTGAAAATAATCAACCCTAACGTCAATACAGTATGATTGTATAATTTGACATTTAATTTAACAAAAAAATATTATATTTAAGACCGGAAGGGGGGGGGGGTCCGGACCCCCAGGACCCCTCCCCCCTGGCTTCGTCACTGTATACATTTAAGTGAGTTGCTGTTTTAAAGAACTCAGAGGTTGATAAAGAAATTGAACAAATTATGATACAAAGTAGTTTATAAATTTTTTAACTAGCTATTCTAGAATGAAAAGTCAACTTACACACAGTGGCTTCCTTTTTAACACCACAAGAAAGTCTTGACATTGAAGCAAATAATACTTTTGTAGAGGGTCATATGATGTGAAAATGGAAATGACATCAGCAATTCTGTCAACGTCACAGGAGTCTACCACTCGGCCATCAATAAGTTCAATAAACTGTCCACTTGATGTTGAGAGAACAACCACGGTCGTCCCATCTGTGAAGAAATTGAAAAGATGAAAAAAAATTTACACTTTTTGGTTAATTTTATTTTGGTAGATTCATTCTTCTTTATGGAAGGAGTTTGCAGAGTTATGGTTGAATATATTAGTGTACTAGAAGTACTAGAACCTTTAAATACTACGTACCAGTATTGCTTCTGCAAGCCACTACCTTTGACCACAGAAAACGTACTACTATAACCCAGAATGCCAACCGCATGGTAAAAAGCATTAAGTGTTTTGAGAGAGCTTTGCCTGTCAATCCGTAGGCAGCGCCACCAGCGTTGCTATGCTATTGCATGGCAACGCTGGTGGCGCTGCCTACGGATTGACAGGATAAGCTCTCTCAAAACACTTAATGCTTTTTACCATGCGGTTGGCATTCTGGGTTATAGTAGTACGTTTTCTGTGCTTTGACCTACCTTTGACTATCAATACATCTAAACATTTCATTTAATTTAATTTTATTTCCATCCTTATGTTAAAGTTATCGCCAAATAAATGACATTGCCCTTGGTTAAGAGGATATCATGAGTGTCCCCTGCGGTCGCAATGAAATCACGAACATCTTTTGCGATTGTGGATTTTCTACGTCTCCTGCGGTCACGACGAGATTGAACGTCTACCGCATTCATGGGGACGTCATCTTCGTATCCCGCTGACGTGATTAAATAGTGACGTCAGCCCATCTTTCACATTTCCAGAGGGATCTTTTTCGTCTTCCACAACCGTGGCAAAATCATGAACATATCTTGTGGTCGTGGATAAATCATAAACATATTTTGCGGTCCTAGAGACTTTACATCATTGTCTCCCCCAATCGTGGCGAAATCTTGATTTTTTACTTTGCAATCTTCGTAGAAGCTTTTGGCAATCGGGAAGAAAAAACTTGGTTCGGAATTTAAACCCCCTTCAGATTTTACATAGGTATCTGTGAAGTTCATTTTTCAATAAACAATTTCCTTTGACGGTTCAAGTGAGGCTCGGTAACAAACCAAGGCAAACGCCATGTCTGCCATTATGGAAATACGGCCTTGGTAGTAAGTATCAATAGAGTCATACAGTCTACATTTAGTGTTAATTACATTAGGTATTGAGGTTTATCAATGTTCTTTGTTGTTGTTGAGCTATCAATCACGGTACCTCAGTAGTCGGTATCTTGGACTCAATAAGGCTGGATATTGCTAGAACAAAACTACCCGCCAGCACGGCCTTATTGTAGAATTAACAATGAGATTCATACTGTAATAGCACTTCACCGTCTCCAGATCACCGCAGAAAACAGTAGTGAGGATCTAGTGTGACAGGGAGTTGAGGTTTATATTTTTAAAACACTAAAATTAGGTAAATTAGGTAAAACCTATAAATTAAACATGCATTATGAAGAAAAAGAAAGAAAGGTGGAAACATGGATATATTATGAGGGTTAAGCCAGGGATAGAAAGTCGCTAAAATGTTGGTGAATAAAACAAAGAATGAAACACTGTCTATGATATTAGCCTACATTATTGAAGAAATTTAGTGTTTAGTATGCTTTACTTTATATTTGAAACCAATCAAGTTAAAGCTAACTTAGTTACTCTTACTGTAAAACTGACTTTCTGTTCTTTAAATACAGGGTTTCATCTTTTGGTTGACTAGCCAGGTAGCTTGTTAGCTGTAATTGTACCTAAACAACATCATAAAATCTATCATAGCAATTATCCTCAAAGACACAGAATTATTCGAGGTATGGTTGTCAGAAACCAAGGAACTCTACGTGAACAAAACTTTGAGTCCAGTAAGAAGAATACTTCAAGTTCAATATTGTAAAATATAAATTTTAACGGTAATCAGTTAAGATTTTTGAACTTTAGAAAAGAATGATTACGTACCTTCAAGAACATTCGTCGATGATGCCCTTGTAACCTGAAGAAAATGTTCTGGAATATTACTGTTCATTTTCTTAACCCTGCAAAAAAGTTAATAACAGATTTAACCAAACGCTTAACTAGAATGTTTTTTAAAGTCATGAATTGTAATAGCCTAAGTTAAGTTCTAAAAGAATTGTATATCACCCCACTCTTCTTGAAGTCCTAGAGTCCCTCTATGTATTAATATTACACAATTACTTTTTGTCAGTTAAGTTATAGGTTTCCAAAACAAGAAGTACCTACCTAACTTTTTGATAGTTTCTTGACATTGTAACTAGGCCAGTCATCACCTGATAGAATCCTTCATAAGGTTTAAAAAGGAATAAACAGACTGTTTTAAGGCAAAACTTTGATATCTTCAACAACTTCAATGGTATTAATCTTTTATTGGTAGGCCTAATGGATGAAATTAAACTAACATAATCGCGACCAGTACAAAAAATTGCATTGTTCGTTTGTCATACAAATTGTAGCCCTACCAAACTTGCTACGGCTGCACTTTAGTAAGTATCTGTCCTACACTCATTCTACTTAATGAAAAATATTGATATGTAGATTATTCAATATATCGATTATTTCATTCGGTTTGTTAATATGAATAATCCAAACTTAATATATCAAATGAAATAATCGATATATTCAATCGAATGAGTGTAGGGCAGAACTAAGGTGCAGCCCTTGCTACAGCGTAACTTAGGCCTAATTATTTAGTAGCCTTGTAAATGTTAAACACATCAATAAGTTTTAATTTATATCAAGATTAGAAAACGTGCCTACTTAATTGCCCTTACCTACTTTTCAAATGAAATCAGATAAGTTAGGTAGCCTATTAGAGGTCTATCATTCCTATTAACTTATCATATTTTTACACTTGCATAATTATTTAATTTTAGATATTTTATAACAATAACAATAACCTGCAACAAATTTTAGTCTAAGTGACTAGGGCCTACTAGGGATAGGCCACTAGGCCTACTGCTACAGTGCTAGAAATACAAATAAGACAAAGAACCAATGGCCTATAATACTGACCTATCTAGATAGTAGATTTGAGACATAAGCTACCGGTACTGCATAGCATTGACAATAATCTACGACAGTAAATAATTCAATGATGTTTGATTCAATTTTTTATATGAAGAGTAAGGTTAGTAGTAGTAGTTTTAAATTTGTAAACAAACATCTACTCTCTCTCTGTGGTCTGCATTAGGTTAAGTTTCCCGCCAAAGATATTTCTTACTCTAGCATAAAGGCAGGTTGCAAACTACTACCATTTAACCCACTTGTAATAATACTACTTTTTCTAGTAGTCTTGTTCTGGACGCACTGATCACAATCGTCATCAAGAGCATAACCATAGATAAAACATACTGGCATAACTGTTTTATTTTACAGTAGGTAGTTATATTGCTATACAAAAAATAGCTTTGAATTATAAAATGAGTAGAAAGATGCAATTAAAAACATATCACCTTTTTTCACTTGAATAGGACCTATCTCAGATTAGATTTTAGAAAGAACTTCATCTAGTTTTTAATGACATTAAAAAAAATATGAATTTCAACGTTTGAAAAATGGCTTACATTTTCCAATATGGCGGCTAACTTAAAAATGTCTTACGGAACACTCTGTATTTTGATTGTTTTGGATTCTAGGTGCATTTTAAGACTTTTATGCTTTTGTCATTTTCTCTCTAAACCTACTCGTTTAGGAGCTACCGCTACTTAGCTAAGCTACAGCCACAGAAAACATAGTAGTATGTTTTCTGTGCTACAGCGTGTTAAACTTTAACATTAGCTTGCCGTGTCATTTAGCCATTATGTCTTTAGCTATATTTTTCTAATCTAATAGTGTCTGGAGGTACCAATGGTGGCACAGTTAAGTGGTTCACTCAGTATAGATTGTGTCTCTTCATCTGAATATTTTTTTGAATATATAGGCTTGACAAAGTATTTCTATTGACTGTCTAGCCCCCATTCAATGGTATTCAGTTGTCGGCTCAATTAGACCAATTATATACATATTTACATGTGGTTACGTCAAAATAGTATAATATACAATGGCTGTTCGTAGCTGTTTCCATAGATAAACCATTTATTTATTTATTTATTCCAACGGTTTCTCCATTAATACAATTTTGTCAAACTATGAACTATACATAAGTAGCAAATAATAAGTTAATATCAGTGGTAACAAAAATCGTGCAATAATAATTAATAAGGAAGCTGGCAATAAATACATGAGTGGGACCTAAAAACCATACCAGAGTATGTTTTATCAATGCTGTTTCATATCAATTCAAATGGAAATTTAATGATTCCTGGTCTATTCTTATAATTGTCGTGGTCATGTAATTGTCATACAATTACAATCAATCAGTTCTATTTAGGCCTTGCACATCGAGCCCCTACCCTAGTTTTACTGTTTACAATATAAAATGTTATATCAGCTGATTCTAACGGACTCTGACGACATGCTTTAAGGTCGATTCACACACATCAGTGCAGTCCAGTCACAGTTCCGTTACAGTCCAGTTGCAGTCCAGTTACAGTCCAGTCACAGTTGCATCTGCAATTTCTCAGTCAATTGTCCGTCAGTTGGTTTCAGTCAGTCTTCCGTCTCTAATATTTACAGTAATTTACAGTCAAGAAATTTAAATTTTAAACCTTTATTCTATTAAATCATCATTGCCCATCTTGTTGATTTTTACAAACAGTACTCAAAATACAAACGCAACCATTGAAATAACAATAACACTATTTTCTAACCTCAAAAAGTTCCGTCAGGCGTCCGAACAATCAAAAAGTATCGTTGGAAAAAAATCTGAAATTGACTGACGGATGCAAGCAGAGTGACTGACGGGACTGGAACGGATGAGTGTAGATAGCGCAATAGAAAATCCATCAAAGAATATTTTTGTTAACTGTGACGTGCCTGAAGTGACTTTACTGTGACGTGCCGTAACTGATGTGTGTGAATCGACCTTAAAGGTCGATTCACACATATCAGTTCAGTCCCAGTTCCGTTACAGTCCAGTTACAGTGCAGTCTCAGTTACATCCGCAATTTCTCAGTCAACTGTCCGTCAATTGGTTTCAGTCAGTCTTCCGTCTCAAAAATTTACAGTAATTTACAGACAAAATTTTTAAATTATAAACCTATATTCTATCAAATTTTTACTGTACATCTTGTTAATTGTTACAAACAGTACTCATAATATAAACACAATCATTTAAACAACAAAACGACTATTTTCTAACCTCAAACAGGTCCGTCAGGCGTCCGAATAATCCAAAAATATCGGTGGACAGAAATCTGAAATTGACTGACGGACGCCGGCAGAGCCACTGACGGAACTGCAACGGATGAGTGTAGATAGCGCTATGGAAAATCCATCAAAGAATATTTTTGTTAACTGTGACGTGACTGGACTGCAACGTGCCGTAACTGATGTGTGTGAATCGACCTTTAAGGTCGATTCACACACATCAGTCCAGTCACAGTTCCGTTACAGTCCAGTTGCAGTCCAGTTACAGTCCAGTCACAGTTGCATCCGCAATTTCTCAGTCAATTGTCCGTCAGTTGGTTTCAGTCAGTCTTCCGTCTCTAATATTTACAGTAATTTACAGTCAAAAAAATTAAATTTTAATCCTATATTCTATTAAATTATCATTGTCCATCTTGTTGATTGTTACAAACAGTACTCAAAATACAAACGCAACCATTTAAATAACAATAACACTATTTTCTAACCTCAAACAGTTCCGTCAGGCGTCCGAACAATCAAAAAGTATCGTTGGAAAGAAATCTGAAATTGACTGACGGGACTGCGACGGATGAGTGTAGATAGCGCAATAGAAAATCTATCAAAGAATATTTTTGTTAACTGTGACGTGCCGTAACTGATGTGTGTGAATCGACCTTAAAGCTGTCGTCAGTGTCGTTGTCCGGTCGTTGTCAGTCAGTAGTGTCAGTAGTGTCGGCTCGTCGGCTCCCGGCTGTTCGGCTGTTGCTTGCTAGTTTCCAGCTGCTGTCACTGAAGCTGAACAGCTGAACTGAGGTTAGAGGTTAGGTTATGAAAAGATTATATATGTTTACTTTTCGATTCTGAACAGTGTTGCCAAAAAGCGGGTAATTACCCGAAAAGCGGGTAATTTAGTTACCTGGGGGTAATGCTGCGGGTAATGGCAAATAGGCGGGTAAAAAGCGGGTAAATGACAACTGATCAAATATTATTTTTTTTCGTATTATTACTTATATTTCACTAGAAGAAAAATATTTCCCTGTGTTTTTTTCCATTAAAGTTATTTCACAGACTTTTTATTGTTTTACACTACTTCTCTTAATCTTCATCAGTTTGGTTCAGTTCTCACTCAGTCACTAGTAGTGTAGATATAAAGTCAATGCGAGTAGGCTACAGCGTTCAGTCGGTTCGGTTCGGTTCAGTTTCAGCACAGAAAACGTACTGTCAGTACGGTTGTTTGTAGTCTTTTCTTTTGGATTGGAGTGGAAAAACTTTTGGTTGCCTGGCCTTAAATGCCTGATCCGTGATCCTGATCTCACTCTCACTTCACTTCTCACTATACTACAGTCAACGCTGATACCATGGTGGAAGGAAAATACCGTACCGTACTAGTATACTTCTAAAGAAGATGAATAACATAAAACAGGGGAATAATAATGTTGATCGGTTATAATAACTATTTTATCCCTAAAACTAATAAAAAATAAAATTTTTAACAGTACTTACTCATTATTAAACAAGTATATGACATAGGCTATCATAAAAAAAAACAAATCATTGTAGGACTAATGAAATTATTTTTGTAAGGTCAGTAAGATTGAAAATTTTATTATGAAGGTTAATTACAAGTCTCAAGTCCTATATTTAGTTCTTTACTACATCTTAATTTGTGGGATTACTCAAAACTAATTTATCAGGGTTTTTATTCGTTACTTTTAGAGACAGGCAAGAGTGTTAAAAGGGAATTTTTGGTTTGTTGAGGGTAATTTTTAGAAAAAGCGGGTAATTCTTTGCTTTGGAGGGGGTAATCGGGCCATAGTGGATTGGCAACACTGATTCTGAAGTTTGGAAATAGAAGTTTTTTTGTTGTACTAACATATTTCAAAACAAAGGTGAGTTATTAAATTAATACTGTAGGCTACATACTTTTGGTTCTTGGATTATTCTCTGAAGAAAACAATCCATGTAAGTTAAAGTGATATTTTATATCAAGTTGAGGGGTGCTATTAATTCTTTAAAGCCTTTTTAACATTTTGTATGTGGGCTGCCAAGGCTGGCATTGATGCAACTTTTGGAAGGCAGGAAGCTTAATGTGGATACTTTATTTGTTTTCCTACGAATTATATTTATTTATAAGTCAATGAGCCATTTATTAGGCCAGATCAACATATACAGTAGGCCTACATGCATTAGCCAAGTCAAATGAATACTTAATTGATAAAACATATTGATTATCTTACAGTGAAAACAACAAAGTATTTACAAGGGTAGACTTCTGTATCTGTTGGCACAAACAACCGAATGAAAATATCGACTGATATAACTTATCCATTATTCTTGATACTTACTTGATACTTGGTGATCTCCCACTGGTAGCGCAGCTGCGCCGTGGTCGTCAGTTTTTTTGGCCTATTTTTCTTTTAGATATTCTTCAACAGAATAATATGGCCTCTTCAATAGATATTCTTTAAATTTCCTCTTGATAATAATTCGATATATCGTTAGGTTAGTTAGGTAAGGTTAACCTAACATAACTAACCAAACGATATATCGAATTAAACAATCGAATAATCAATATTTTCATTCGGTTGATTGTGGCAACAGATACGGAAGTCTACCCATTTAACTTACAAGCAACCACAAGTACATTTAACTAATGTTTACAAGTAGACCAGACCAGACCAACTCCTATGTCGTTGCCCAACACTTGTTGGATAGACTGCGTCAAATAAAATTACAGTAATAAAACTAATAAAAAAATAACATTCCTATTTAACCAATATTTAAAAATAGAAAAACTAGTGATGGCGGTGCATATTATATGTTCGAGAAGTACTCGCCAGACACTTCCTAAAAAGAGTACAGCGGCTCATTTTTGAGTTTGTTAAAAATCCGCATGGAGAAAGCTTTCATGTCTTCAGTGTGGGCCCAAGGCGGTAACATGTTGTAGAATCGCATGGCTGGGATGGGATGGGCTGCCAAGGATCTTGATAACCTGCATCGAGGAATGTCAAGTTTCTGTGCATGCCTGGTGTCATGTTTATGGAGATCACCCCTCTGTTGATATTCACCTATGTTATTCTTGAGATTAATCAAGCCGTAATAAACATATTGGCTGAAGATGGTCATAACCTTAAGGTTGGTGAATAGGGGCTTACAGTGGTCTCTATAACCAGTGGCTGACAGCACTCTGACTGCCTTCTTCTGCAGACGAAGCACTTTTATACAGCCAGGAGCATGTCCCCAGAGCAGGATTCCACATCTGATATGGCTTTGAAATAGGGCATGATATACATTTATCAAATATTTATCAGTGACGACCCCCCTAAGTTTCCACAGAAGAAAAACCACACGGGAGAGTTTAACACATACATGACTGATATGTTGTTCCCAGGTAAACTTAGGGTCTAGGCTGAAGCCCAGCAATTTCACGCTGCTTTGCTGATCAATATTCATTGTTTTGCTTAAAGTGCATAACATCCTCTGAGTCTTGTCTCCATTCAACTGTAGCCGATTTCTGGCAAACCAGATTTTAGCAGCATCCAGTGCAGCTTCTGCCTCTATCAAAACTTGGTTTATAACTTTCCCTCTAGTCTATTACTAACTTAACTTTAGTATTACTGTATTAACTTTCATTTTATCAACTTATCTATTCTATTATCAACTTCTTAACTATTATTAACTTTCAGTCTATTATTAACTTTCTTTTTTTCTATTATTGAGGTGTCATCAGCATACAGGAGTGCTCTGCCCTGGAGATGGAGGTCATTCACAACAATGAGAAACAAAAGAGGGCCCAGGACCGAGCCCAAAAGAGAGAGTTATTTATTTTCTAATAATCACATAGCCTAACATCCTATTCAGACAGGTGATTCGTCATTGTTACATTATTTTATAAAGTTACGTTAGTCCACCACCAGGACCGTACATCTTCCACTACAAGTTACCTCGAGATAACATAGAGGTCTGCGTTGACGCTAGGACCTATGGCAACGACGCTCGCTTTGTACGACGCTCTTGCAAACCCAACGCTGAGGTCAGTGTTTGCGATTCTGATTGTTTATTAGGGAATTGGTTTTTTCCTCTCGTCAGTCAAAACTGACATAAGAGCATCTTTCCAGAAAGTCGGCGGATCCTCAACTTTGTTTGTGATTTGAATTATGATTTGTTTTGTTTAATCATATTGTTTTGATTCGAATATTTGATCTACAGTATATTCTATTCCAGTTTTTTTTTACACTTGAAGGAGGTCATGGAAGCACTTCAAGAACAAGAACTACATGAAAATTCTAAGTGTGAAATGAGGAACACTGTGATTGTGACTGGATTCGGGCCTTTTGGGAATCATACTGTAAATGCCAGCTGGGAGGCTGTCAAACTCCTGCACACCACTGGTGTTGATAAAGAACTTGGCATTTGTCTGTAACCGAAGAGATCCCAGTAGCTTACAATGATGTGGGAAAGAAAGTTCCCACGTTGTGGGATTCTCATAAGCCGCTGGTAAGAAAATCCCTTATTTTAACTAGGCCTATGCAGGGTTTTTTTTACAGATTATTTATTTTCGCTGTTTAACTAAGGTTAGTTAATAATGCACTCAATGTTGGCACAACAAAAGAGTAAGTTATGTACAACAAAACCAACAGTGTAGAGTTGAGCGGTTGGCCACATCCTACCAATTGAATTCCCTTCTGGACATTTAATAATCAATTTAGACCTAGTTTTTTGACAAGATTCATGGTAATAAAATAATTGGATTAAGTTAATAATTCCTCGATCATTGAAACCTCCAGCATTTTTTTGCCTTGCCAAAAATCAATTTACATTTCTCTTCCACCTTCTGCTACTTGAAAGTAGGTAATGAAAAGTCTTTTAAACACGTTTTTGAACTTCGTCCACCCACTTCATTCTTGGTCTGCCTAGTGGAAATTTATTTCCTATTTTCCAGGCATACATTGAATTATTGAATATTCTTCTCTTCTCTACTTATTTCCTGCTCTCAATTAAATATGTCCGTTTGTCTTTGTCTAATTCTCCAAAATATTGTCAGTAACGGTTCAATTATTTCAGCTCGTAATCCATGTTGGAGTGTCAAATCTTGCAGAGAAGATCACACTGGAAACAGCCGCTCAAAAGTCTGGTTACGAGAGATGTGATATTTACGGCCAAACCCCATCTTGCAAGGAATGCTGCTTTGGTTCAGCCCCAGTGTTACAATCTGAACTTGATTTGTTGGATGTAAATGACAGAATAAATGCATCAGCAGAAGTACAAGCAGAAATATCCAAGGATGCTGGAAGGTAGAGTTTGATAAAGTTTGTTATTATATTTGTTATACCCGTGTACACAATTAGATTTTGTAACTGTAGGTATGTTAATATCACAAGTGATGTGAGCATCTAGTTTAAACCAACCTAGTTAAGTTTTATGTAGGCCCTATAAGTTTAAACCTAGGTGTCAGGAATGTGCCCCAAATTCTTTTTTAAGTTATTGTTAGTGAGAGTAAGTTTTTGTTGTTCAATAGATTGCAGAAACTTGCTATCCTTGGGTGTTTTACTATCCTAGTGGGTAGATTAGAGTCTTGGATTCGGTGCAAAAATGATAGTTTTGTTCCCCAACATGAACGAAACCTGATATATACGGAACAAATATTTAAGGGGTCGAATGGAAGGATCTGTAATTCTTCCATTTGGATCTGGAATCTGATAGCATATTCAGGTGGGAATGAACCTCGGGTATGAAAAGATTAGTAGATAAAGTTTATTTTACACAACAACGCCAAGATATTTTTGTTTATATTTTAATTTAATCCATTCCAAGCAGTATATTGATCTGAACCCAAATTTCTTTTGTAATTGGAGTGAAAACAAACTTTATTTTACAGAGGCGTTGAAAATACAAACAAATATTATATTATAGTAACCTGCAACAATCATGGGTTACAAAAAATTATCCAATATTTTCTGTTGGTCAAAATCAGTTTATAAATAATGGTAATCACTTTAACATCTTCCACTATACCGTATTCAAACATTTCTTGCTCAATGACAATTTTAGTTATTTGTTACATTCAACTATCTGATCGTAATAACAGTTTAACATTTGGAATGTTACAGGTATTTATGCGAGTACACATATTACACATCCCTAAGTATTGACAGTTCAAGATCCCTTTTCATCCATGTTCCACCTCTAGATGCACCTTACTCTGCCGAACAGCTTGCTAGAGGTTTGGCCGATATTATCAGGTGTTTGGTGGATCAGCTGCGTAGTAAGGCTAAACATGTGTTGTCAGCATAGAGCAAACAGTGGGCATAATAACAATTGTTTCAGAGGGTGTCATAAAAATGTAGAGAGAAAGTACAAAATGAAATGTGCTGAACCTGATTATTAAATGTACAAACCGGATTACAATGTGCAATACATCCAGATACAATCAATTTAGGTTTTCACGTGCCAGAAAGATTCCTGATCCTCGCATGTCGGAATTCTGAATTCTGATTCTCACATAAGGATTGTAAATTCTGATTCTTTGACACCAGAATCAGTCTTAGTTATTATTTAGGCCTATAGGTCGTTTAAATTATGTTTCTAAGATTATTTATTTCAATGCGCCTACCAAACATTGAGTACCGTATCTAAGAAACTAAATAAGTCAGGGTTATTATACAGTATAAGTGCCTAGTTTAAAACTATAACCAAAGAGAAGAATACAGGTATGTCTACTAATTATATAATATCTTAGTCAATGTTTGACCAGCTAGTCTTCAATGATAAGATAAGAAAATAGTATTTTCCTAAGTAATCTGTGACCAGGAGTTTTGTTGAAGGCATCTATTATATGTGTAGACATTATGCCTTGTAATTTTCTGCAATCAACCAGAAGGCACAAATAATATTTTAATAATATTAAAATTTTTATAAAAATAAACCAAACCTGTAGAAGATTACTTGCAGGCACTATTAATAGGATAAGTTAAGACCTTTGAAATAAATGACCAAATAAAATGTTGATATATTGCACAATACATTCGTATTAGACAGAATTTATTTATTATATCATTTATTTTATATTAGTATCAAGTACGGTGATTGTTTTATGAATTGTAGTTTGTAGTACATAGTTAGTAATAATAATAATAATTCTTTTATTGCAGTGGACAAAGTACATTGCATTACAAACGTCAATAAATAATGTTTGTGAAAAAATCCATGTTAGATCTTACATTTTGTCACAATTCACAATAAGTGTCAAAATTTTATATTATGGTCAAAAATATTTATACGTATTTATTTATTTACTATCATTATTATAATATTATTAATATTAAAAATTTTTTTAAATGCATTCATTTATATAGGTAATTTTTTATTTAGTTTTTGTGATTAGTATAATTTAAGCAATGTACTAATCTTACCTCTTATATGAACATTATAAAACTTATTTAAGTATTGAAGTTTAAATTAATCAATTATAATTAATTGAAACAAGTTTAACTAAATGATTGCATTTATTGTTGCAACTTCATTGTAATCAAAATGTATAACTATATGAATTTAATATAGATAAGTTGTAAATTCAATGTAAGTTTTTACTTTACCAATCCTTGCCACCTAGTCGATTTTTTGCGACAAACCTGTCAAAGATATAATGGCCCATCCAGCTTCAGAACATTATCTCAGCTTAGAACATTAGTAAGAACAATCATACAAACACGTACTCCTTTTTGTTAAATGTATTAAAAAAACACCAAACAAATGGGTAATTGTCTTTGGTTCAGCATATAATCATTTTACAAATGGCTATTTAGAATTCCCAGGCTTGTTATCGACAGTGTAAGATTCCTATGGGGAAAATACACATATTTACATCAGTCGGAACTTTAAACTGATTAAATAGTGGTCTACAGTGCTATGGGAGCTGAGTTTGACAAGATCCTAACAGCCTTTTTGAAAAAGCAGCACATCCTGAACCTTATAGATATTAAAAAACTATAAAGTAACAAGCTTGAAAAAAAATGACATGACCAGAAATAGGAATATTTATACTTGTAAGATATTTGCTTTTCAGTCATCTTAGTTAACTACCCTTAATGATTTGGACAGGTTATTACAAAATTATCATCTCTCCAATCCGAACTTTGGGGGGACCAGATTAAAACCTAGAAGTTTTACACACATAATTGGTGTACAATATCGGTACTCTTGTGTGGTCCATGGATGGGATGTCTACTTCCAGTATCCATAATCGTTGAAAAGTGACTGTCCAATCTGGGTTCAGAATTACTATCTCGCTTGAATTGGTGGTACCATAACAACCTTACTTGTAGAAGAATTACCACCTGGGGCCCATTTCATAATAAACTACATGTTACAAGTTACAACTTGTAACTTGTAATTTCCATTAGATTTGCATTGGGCGATCAGCTGATTTACTAATAATATTAGTTTGTACTTTATTATGAAATGGGCCCCTGGCTACACAAAGATTTTTTATGTTACCACAGTGTACAGCCATTGACTATATATAGTCAATGGTACAGCCCTATTGGTTCATGGAATGAAGACCGTAATAATTCAGTTAATTTGTGTTTTTACCAGGAAAGTTTTGGGGTAGTTTTGATTTTTTCCATTTCTTATGTATTTTGGGGTGCTGAATCCGAATCTGAGGTTTGCCAACAAAAATTCTTGACGCAACATTGACACAAATTATACTTTTTGTAATATTTAGCTTATAACTAAAAAACTATCAACTTTTTGTTATTAGTCTATATTATAAAAATTAAAGTACACAAAATTTGCTACAAAATGCACCCCTAATGTTGTAATCTCCGATTAACCGTTTAGGCTCCAGAGTTATTTGAAAATTAGAACATTTTGTGTTAGTTTTTAAATTTCTCCAATTATTCGGTCAATGACATATATTCATTGTATATGCCCAGGCAAAGGTCTTATATAAATCCAAAGTGTTAAAATTGATTAATTTTGTGTTACTGAACCGTTGACTTTTTATTTAGTGTACAGAAAAGTTACACAAACTGTTGTACACATACAGGTGAAACTGAATACATGAAAAGGGGGATCACTTGGTATGCGGATGGCTCGAAAAAGCCAACAGACACTGGGGCGGGAATATATATGGAGTCATACCCAAGGCGCAGTTTTGCGTAAGCCTGGGGAAACTCCCACTGTATTCCAGGTAGAAGTTGTTGTCCTGTCCGAGTGTGCAGGAACTTGTTTGATATGTGCTCGTTTGTGTTTGAAGCGGTATGACAGGCCACACCATATACATGAAATCGGACATCAAAGCAGAACTAATGGAACTTGGACAGTTTTGACTTTACATCTAAGGCAGTATGAGACTGTCATCAGGCTATGAAAGCTCCTGGAGATAACAAGGTTATCCTTAGTTGGGTTCCAGGACACAAAAGGTATTGCTTGCAATGAGGGAGCTGACAAGTGGGCAAACGAAGGAGCTGAAAGCCCGCTCATAGGTCCAGAGCCGACGTGTGGTATTGCTTGTTCGCCAGAGGATAGGCATTGAACAACGAAGGAACTGGGAAAGAACATAAGGCAACGTACAGTCAAAGAGAATGCTGCAGACACCTTCCGGTGCGATCGTGGCATATGCCCTCTTGTGCTGAATTGGAAGCTGCGGAAGGTGATGGTTGGCTTCATCAGCGACCATTGGGTATTCCGCGGACATCTACACAAGATGGGAATTCAAGTTGAATGCCTTATGTAGGAAATGTGGAGAGGAGGAGGAGACAGCCTTTTACGTGATATTTATGTGCCCTGCAAGGTCTGCGTGTGGGATCACTTGGCCTATTGACTTGAGATCAAAGGGAAGAACATGTTACCATAGTCAAAAGGATCTCATGGTTCACCAAGGACATGGGATTTGACGGAGAATGAGGACCTATGAATGAGGGTGCACTATAAGCAGTTCCAGCTGCGATGCAATCCCATGGTCACTTGTAAGCCTGGCCCTCTGTTAAAATAAACAATTTCAAAGATCCAGAGTGGCTTGGCGACTAAAATGTATGATGTTAAATAACAAATAATCAACAAATTAAATTGGAATTGTCGGGAGAGTTAGTAGAATATGGATCAATTGACACAGTTTAATGGATGGGGAGAATGTTGTCAATTCATCCCATTGAATTTCTAAACTCCTAAGAGCCACTCATCAGGAATATATGCTACCATGCAGCCATACTCTCATTAAATGAATGAACTCCCGTAACTTAAATCCACCCAAGGTGTGTGCAACGAAATCAGACTGACGAAAAAAAATGACACGAAACTTGATCGAAGCAACAATCATCGTCAGGGGTTATTTCAAAAGAGAATTAGTCTTAATCCCAAGAATACCGATGATTTAATCCGAATTGCCCTTTTGAATTCAAGCGCCTACAATCTATATATTAATTTGAAACTGTTTTTCTTTGTCATAGCTATTTTGAGAGAACGGCTGGGCGTAGAAACTCGGTAGAGGTGTCTAAAGAAAGGTATTGGTCTGTAGATGAGCCATCAAAAGAGAAACATGGTGAATTCCCTTGGGGCTCTGCCCCCGTGGCCTTTAAATTCCCATCCCATGTTATTCTTATGGAGGAAAACGGGGTTTTTGTCACAGCTAATTTGAGAGAACGGCTGGGCGTATAAACTTGGTAGGGGTCTCTAAAGAAAGGTCTTGGTCTGTAGATGAGCCATCAAAAGAGGAAAGAGGTAAATTCCCTTGGGATCCTCTGCCCCAGAGGCCTTTAAAGTTCACTCTGCAATATTGTTTACATTTCGACCATATGGATAATTTTACACTACTTTTATGAACCAGCTGTTAATATTAAAATTGTATTCAAAGGTCTACTGAAACTGTCAAAATTAAATGTTTACATTATTATTTATGATTTTAAATGGATTCTCCACTGCATGGCAAGTTTTTTATAGTTTCAACAAAATGATGAATTTATGATACGTTTGAAATGTTTTGTTCAAAAATCTATGCTTTATTGCTCTTAGAGAATTTTAAATTATGAAATAAGTGTGACTTATCAATTTCAAAGGAACATATAACTATTCCTTATCGGGGGTGCATATTGTAAGGTTGCACTTTCCTTTTTTTCCTACTTTTAATCACCATTTATTTTTTAATTCAAGAAAGAACACCTGAGATTCATTTATTGGTATAACAGTTTTTGATAATCGGGTTGAAAATTGTGTCATAGATGAGTATGTTGAGGATGAGAGCTGTGTTCAAGTTTTGGAATAGACTAACTACGAAGTCTATGGTTTTGGTAAAGAAGGTGAATTAATGTCAATTCAGGTATTTAAAAAAAAATGTGTACACAGTTTTTACTTTGATGTACACATGTAGCTAGGTTGAACAACGCATCTAAACCTCACTACATACAAAACATTCGGAAACATAAAAGTGTCATCACATCTCATCGCATTTGCATAATTTGTTACCAATGCTGGACTAGGTTATGGATTTGGTTCCGCAAATGTTCAAGATTTGTGATGAGATTTCCTACAATTATGGTTCATTCCAATCCACGAAATACATGCACAGCTTTATGTGATCTATATGGCCAAGGCAAAACTACCCCATAAGTTAATGAATTATCAAGTAAGAACAGGATGATTAAATACATGAGTCGATGTGGCAAGAGAAGGATTTAAAATTGCTGAGATCGAAGTAAGAATGTTACTGCTTTCTGGAGCATCAGATATTTTTATAAAAAAAAATATGAAGATTTACTTATAAATCCGGATACAATCTGAATGATTTTCCTAAAGCAGATGGAATTAGTGGTTAGTAATAAATATTGACTCTTTCCGTAACATGATAGACTAATTATATGAACTCATTCTCCCATATAGTGAAAGTGGCTTTGGTTTGAAACAAACTCATGAACAAACAATTATGAGACTCCTAAAAAACCTTTTGGGCAACCTAAAGCCGATAAAAAGAAAGGTAGGAAATATTGTGTTAAACGAATTCATCAATCACGTTTTTTAGGGAACACAATCGTCATACTTATTATTGCTTATCCTCCCTTCATATATCTAAGATTTTAAGAAGGCCACGGCCTGGTAGAATTGGCAACGTTAACGTTGCAGGTAGGGTTGTTATTTAGTGTCAGACGTCCCATAAGATAACATGGTAGACAGGTGACATCAACGGGAACGCGCCAAGGCGCCACCACGTCAACCCGCCACCAAGTCAACCCGCCATCAAAAAGAAGAAGAAGTTTGAGGTGGCGGGTTGACGTGGTGGCTCGTTGTCGGGGTGG